AAGACCTGCGACAAGACGCAAGCAGGGACGAAGATCCAGCTGTGCTTGCTCTTCGCAACCAACGCCGTCGTGTGCTTGTTCGCAATGCCAGGGACCGCCGTGCTCGAGCTCCTGTTCCTCCGAAACAGGCGGGTCGAGCGGGCGACCGAGGTGGTCTTCGTGGTCCTGTACTCCATGACTGCGTGCGTCGATCAGCTGGCTCTGGCGGTGATCGCCGTGTACAGGTATGCAGTATCTCCTGACTTTCTCTGCAATGTGGCACGGTATGGTTTCGCAGTGCAGTATACATGCGCAAGAATTGAAAGTGACAATAAGAACAAAAGTCATGACGTTTCGAGCAAAAATCTTCTCTTCAGACGAAGTAGAATGACAGTACGTTGCGCTTTTCGGTCGATTCAAAGAGCAAATGGCGGAAGACCTTCCCACGATTCCCTCCTTGCAGACTTATGGCCGTGTGTTTCCCGCTGAAGTAGCTGTGGTCCAGGCCGACTGTGGTCGTGGCGGTCGAAGTCGCTGTCACTGTGCCTGCTGTGGTGGCACTGATGCTGGCCTTTGTGTTCGTGGTAAACTTAGAAAATGCGCTTACATATTTTTACTCATAGAAGAAAGCTGAAAGTCTTTAAGAGGCATATGTATTCATTCGTTTTTTCTTCATTAATAATATATGATTCCTGTGTCACACACACATATACATATGTATACAACAATAAATGATTTCATCATTTTCAGAATTTCGAAATGGGACTTTCCACCAATAACGCTGTTGGAAAATTAATGTATGGTGTGTTCTACCTGCTGCCGATAACCATCATAGCGACTGCCTACTGCGTCATACTTTCCATAGTGAGTGCTTTCACTTATATTAGATTTGCTTTTCTCGTGACCAAGTTTCTGAGTGAGGCAACACCATCTGGTCTTCCCCCAACAGGTGGGCTTCCGGCGGTGCGGGAGGCGGGGCGACGAGGCTCGGGTCCTCAGCTGGGACCAGATCAGCCTCTCGCTCTGCGTCCTCATCCTCATGAACCTCCTCCTGGACTTCCCCCACGTCACCATGCACCTCATGAACGTCAGCTGGAAGGAGCCTTCCTTCGTGATCGTCCACGCCATCTACCGCCTCCACTTCGCCCTGGACCCCCTCGTCTTCATGGGTCTGAACCAGCGGTTCCGCCAGAAGGCGCTGCAGAGGGCCTTTTCGCTGGTGCCTGGCCGGTGCCTCCCGTCATCCTCTGAGTCCAGCGACCGCTCGCAAAGGAACACGGCCGTAGCGGTTTCTGTGCTCTGAATTTTTCGTATTGGAACCAATGTTTGGAACTGAAGGCTTTAGACAGATAATCAGGACAGTATTCAGAGATCTATGATTCATTTGATTTGGATATTTTTCCAGTGGTTGGAATAGATCCAATAAAATCCTGTACCCACAAATAAGTCATTATGTAGGATATTCAACCACCGTTCTCTACTTCAGGGTGCGTCTACTTAGGAGGTTGCATCTTCTAGTGGTCCTTTAAGAATTTAGTATCATCAACTCATTGTTGATGATAAAATATACATGTTTTAGTATACTCAAAACTCCAGACCACAATACAAAAGGGAACAGACATAGGGACCCATTCTCAGAAGGTGGGGGTGGGCTATGGTTCAGGATAGTCTACCTGATCTGCCCGAGACCTACTACGTATTAGATTTGTTTTTATTCCATAAAACTTTGCGATCCTAAATCTTTAAGAAACCGCAAGAGAAGCCTCCACTTTGTTATTAGGGTTTTCTCTCATATCAAGAGACACTTCGGACACCACTTACGAAGCATATTCTTTTACCCATCAGCCATTCACCGTTGAGCTACCTGGCGCTGCAGCCAATCAGAACTAATCTGAACCAATCGATGGAGGTCCTCCATCCCCCTGGAGAAGGTGTTTGGTGTCTCTGAATATGAGCATTTAATGTGATGTAGCCTGGTTCCATAAGGCCTGTTGGGTGGCTTGAATTACCCCTAGTCATAGAAACATAATTTACAATTTTATCTAATTTCGTTTAATCTGTTTTCACATTAAACTCTACTTTCTTAAGCAATATTATATACAATAAATATACGAAAAACAAATTTGTACAGTCTTGAGCCTTTCAGTTATATGGACATAATTCAACATCTGTACGTTGCTAAACTCTTTTTGATGTCCGTAGCATAATTCCTTCATAGAATCTATAATATTCATGTAATATGGCTGTGCATGGACAAAGCTCTAGAATTTTTACAAATGGGAAGATTTTCATAGTAGAAATAAAGAATACTAAATGGGAATCATTACTAGGGAAGACCCCAGCAGCACTGACATGGGGGCTATTGTATTATAAATTGTATAATGAAATGTTCACTGATAAATAGTTACAGTCGCCTGATTTTTCTTGCTACAAAAGGAAGAATTTATAATGAAAATTTAATTTTCAAGGGAAATTTTGGTGAACAATCCTTTATCTAAATTCCAGAGAAAACCTGGGCCAG